CAAAGCCCCTTGTACCATGTTCCAGTCTTGTAACATTAAAGATGTTTGTAGAAAGATGTAAGTAGGACGTTTGCTATGGAGAGGCACTTCAAAAAAGAGTGTTCCCATGGGGTTTACAGTAAAAATACCAGATTGAGAAGCTAATAAAAGATCTATTATGTAGCTAAAAGTGCTGTAGTGCGCTACTGGAGCCAGCTTCACCATCAAAGCTGCCAACCCGACCATGTCCTGGGACCCTGGACCTTCATCCTCATCATTACATCACCCCCACCTTCACTGGCTGAAACCTTACCACCCCTGGGATTACAGACAGTCTCTCATTTCTCTCTCTTCTCCCCACTCCAGCATATGCCCTTTTCTTTCCCCATCTTATTTCTTCTCTTTCCTCTCTCTTTTTGTCCTTCTGTCTAATAACAGCTTGGCTTAGCCAGCCAAGACTGCATATACAGTGATGTAAGGCTATGACTAGAAAGAGGCAACTAAATGAAATGCCCTAAACAGCCTGAGACTGGTACGTTTCCAGTTCCAGGTCTCAGAGTGGCCGATAAGACTATGTGGTGTGCCTGTGTTTTTCCAGCCACAAGATTGCAAGTAAAAGGCAACACCAGAGACAGAAGCTGCATTTTCTATCTTGTTCTCTTCACTCCCTGTTTCGTATGCTTGGCTTGTTTTTCTATTCAGAAATCGGATCAGACTAACAGAAGCAACAGCTCCAGCCCATCTCTACTAACTTCTTCTCTTTTCCTCAAAAACATAGTTATTAGTATCTTTGATACCATCTAAGAGAGTGTCAAACAAGGAGGGTTTCCTTCTAAAAACTCTCTCCAGCGAACGGGAAAGGGAACAAGGGATGTTGTTAAAATGGAAGCCTTGCTTCTTAATTTACATTTAAAATGATTTAACTGTTCTTCCTTCTTTTCTGTATCTTTAATAAAAAGGTTAAAGTGATGTTTAATGGTGTGTTTGCCATGGTACCAAGCAGGTTGAAATCTCTATATATCAAATCCTGAACTTGGTTTAACACTGTTTAATATTGGACAGTTACTGGGTTATGTTAGCATAGATTCCATCTTAATTAAGACAACATTTTTTTTATTGTGACATTTTATTAACTTTTATGTACTTTTTACAGTTGTGCTTACAACTAGAGTAAATTTGTAGGCCCGATTACTACAACATAATCCCTTCTTTAATTAACTAATTTTGATTAGGATTGGACATTTGTTTATAAAATTACAATTATAAAAATACCTTTATTTTAGTATAAGCAGATAGCAAAAAGTAAAAGAAAAAATATATGATTATATTTTAAGGTTTGTAATTTTTTTATTTCAAAATTGGAATTTATAAATTTGACTTGATTAAAACCACAGTTATGTCTAACAATTATATCTTATATTTAATAGTTAAAACTGTTAAAACAGTTTTTAGAAGTTAATAAAACTTAAGAATTTATAATATACTTTATTTTTAGTTAAAATAAAACTTAAAATTTCTGCTGTTTGTAAAATGGTTAAGAATAAACTAGTCTTTTCTTTGGCTGTATGTTTAGGATGGGTAAGGATTTTTTTTTTTTGGGCTTATACAATTAAAGCTTTATATTTACATTTGTGATAACTGGGCCTACACATTTATCCTAATTGTAAACTCAATTGTAAAAAGTAGGCAAAAGCTTACAAAGAGTCACAATAACCTATAGTAACAAATGTTAATAAAAAGTGTAACTCCCTCTCTCAAAAAATTAAATTAGTCCAAACAAAGGAAACTATTAATACAACTCAAACACTGTGTTACAATCATGCTTAATAAACAACCAAAAATAAGTGAACCAAAATTAAGATATCAAAAACTATGCCTAATTAATAAACAAAATAACACAAAATGGGTTATTCCACCTGTGACTCCCCGACACCCCAATATTCACCACTGTCATGTAATTAGGCTATGTGTTACTGAAACATTTTGTGAGGTTGAAAACACCCACAAGCAGCCTTTCAGGTACAACAGTAAAAAGGCCAAACAATGTTAATGGTTTACTGAGGAAATGCACACCACAATAATGATAATAATAAGTAAAAAAAAGTTTTTGTGGTTTGTTCAAAAGCATCTGGAGGTACGGATTTGGCCCGTGGTCCACCTATTGACTATCCCTTCCCTAGACTGATGTGGATGGACAGACGTGTTTTAAGATTAGAAAATAATTCAATTTCCTTAGAAATCAAAAGATTCTCATTGCAGATGTCCCAAACGAAGCACAAAATATCCATAAAATGGGGTAATGGAGACCTATGTCTGTACTCAAGGCAACACTAAGCTAACATCATTCTGTTCACTTGAACACTCACACAATCTAATGTAGAAGGGGAGCTGGTTTATTGCATGTACTTTAATTCAAATTACACTTCTATTTCATATCTACGGATACAAAGACACTTGGTAATACCTAACCATCTACTATGCTGTGATTGCTGCTTATTACATAATGCTTAATAGTCTCAGTGTTAACCTATGCTCCCCCTCTCTGTTTGTTATATCCATCTATTATCTCTTTGGAGCAGGCTCAGGGTTTACATTATATGTGCACACAGTGCTTAGCACAACGGGGTCACTATCTCTGACAGGGTCTGTGCGTGGCTACTGCCACAGCCATCCTCCTGGCCAACACATTGGGGACTGAACCAGTCACCTCCAGAGCTAAAAACATGTGCTACTACACCAGGGGTAGGAAACCCATGGCACGCGTGCCAAAGGCGGCATGCGAGCTGATTTTCAGTGGCACTCACACTGCCCGGGCCCCGGCCACCGGTCCGGGGGGGAGGGCTCTGCATTTTAATTTAATTTTAAATGAAGCTTCTTAAACATTTTAAAAACCTATTTACTTTACATACAACAATAGTTTAGTTATATATTATAGACTTATAGAAAGAGACCTTCTAAAAACGTTAAAATGTATTATTGGCACGCGAAACCTTAAATTAGAGTGAATAAATGAAGACTCGGCACACCACTTCTGAAAGGTTACCGACCCCTGTACTACACCTTGTGCTAAAGAGTCAAGGCTCTGTAACTGGGGACTGTAATAACGCATGTCCTCATGGCACAGAGGAAGACCTATAATACACACTTACCAGAAGGTTACACTATCACAGTGCTAATACTCCTATAACATGACATATGTTATGTATGTTACACAGTTTTACAATGAATTTGAGAGACTTTTGCCTCCCTTTCTTAGTCTAGAAAGCAGCCTTCCTCAGGGGAAGGAGACCAGGTACTGAACCTCTGCCTCACTGACAACCTGCTGGCTATCACCAGGCTTGTTTCAAGATGGCCCTATCTTGCCTCTAACAGTAGCAATGGAGTGGAGTTTTGTGATACTATCATAAGACAGTGCAGCACATATGGCCTCTACATAAGGTGCAGCCATGGGAAGGTACAATAGGAAATCTTTACATAACCGTATTCCTTTGTTGTATGTTTACAGAAAGCCAAGGGCCAAACTAATTTAAGGTAATTGTATTACCACAAATAAACAGATTTTACTCTTAAATGGCTTTTATTAGAAACACAGGACAGGAATGCAAATGTCAGAAAGAAAATAAACCTGTTCATCAAGTTAATTTCTTCTGCCTAGCAAAAGTCATACCATTTTCTCACTTTCTTTTCTCTGAAATTTGTGCTGGATCTGGGTAGCTCTGACCTATGCTCTCTAATATAATTACCTGCACTCTTAGAATGAAGCTGTGGAATGAAGAACAAAAAAACCAACTTCAGCTAACATCGTGATGCTGTTCCCTTTCAACTTCTTACTGATCTACTGTATTGTTTCCTTTGACTGCTACATAGTCTGTAATTTAACCAAACTTTGCAAGGTAAGATTATGCATTGTTGGCATAGTAGGGTCTCCAAATTTAAGAATATAATCTGCACATCTGTCTTTGTTCAGAACTCCTACTGATGGATGGGAATTGTTTTTGTGGACTGAGGGGAGCATATAGGTTACAATCAAAGAACATCTTTCTAGGTGCAGGGACCATCTTTCTATGTGTGCTGCATAGACCTGAGCCCACATCTGACGCTCAAATAAATAATAGCAGTAGCACAGAGAATATAAGAATGTAACAACTTAAGAACGGCCATACTGGGACAAATCAATGGTCCATCTAGCCCAGTATCCTGTCTTCCAAAAGTGGCCAGTGCCAGATGCTTCAGAGGGAATGAGCACAATAGGGCAATTTATCAAGTGGTCCACCCCCTGTAGTCCAGTCCCAGCTTCTGGCAGTCAGAGGTTTAGGGACACTCAGAGCATGTGGTTGCATCCCTGACCATATTGGCTAATAGCCACTGATGGACCTAACCTCCATGAATTTACCCAATTCTTCTTTTAACCCAGTTATATTTTTGACCTTCACAATCCCTTAGAAAAAAGTTCCACAGGTTGATTGTGAAGTGTGTGAAGAAGTTCTTCCAGATGTTTGTTTCAGACCTACTATTAATTTCACTGGGTGATCCCTGATTCTTGTGAAGGGATGAGTAAAACTTCCTTATTCACTTTCTCCACAACATTCATGATTTTATAGACCTCTATAATATCCCCACTTAGTCGTCGCTTTTCTAAACTGAACAATCCCAGTCTTTTTAATCTCTCCTCATGTTGAAGCTATTCCATATCTAATCATTTTAGTTGCCCTTCTCCAATTCTAATATTTTTTTAGACAGGGTGACCAGAATTGTATGCAGTATTTGAGGTGTGCACATACCATGGATTTAAACAGTGGCATTATGATATACTCTGTCTTATTACCTATCCCTTTCCTGATACTGTAGTTCATAACATTCTGTTTGCTATTTTGACTGCTGCTGCACATTGAGCAGATGTTTTCAGAGAACTATCCACGATGACAGCAATATATTTTTCTTGTGTGGTAGGGTAATAGCTAATTTATACCCCATCGTGTTGAATACACTTCACAACAAACAACAAATAAGGCATCACTTACAGGTTCTTCACATCAGTAATTCCTCGAAAGGCCTTCCTTGGGATTCCTTGAATTTGGTTTTCACTTAGATCTCTAAACAAGAGAAGAGGAAAAACACATCATATTAACAAAGAGAACACATTTCCCTAAACTGCATTACGATAATAGAATATAACCAGTTTGGCAACTACAGACTTGTTACACTTTGGCAAAGAAATCCCAATATTTCCTTAAAAAAAAAAAAATGGTGGCATTTGTTAAAAATGGCTATACAAGTAACAGAACTTCTACCATATGTCTAAATGTGTTTTTTATGGGCTGTCATATCGATCAGTGCATGTGACTCACTACCACGATATTTGTAGCACAAAAGTGCACCTCAGCTTTCTAATCTTTTAATTTTGGTGCAAGTGAGGCTTTTTCCCATTTCTCCCATGACATGGTATTGATCTACCTGTTTAAAAAGCAAATAAAATTGATACATTTTCTTAATAACATTTTAAAATGCTGGGCTTTCCTATGATCAAATCTTCAATTTACGTTGACATTGATAGCTTAACTGGATGAACAGAATCATAGAATCAAATAATTTACTCAAATTAAATGCAAAATAAAACAAATAAAAATTCGACTAGTTTTGCTCAGAAGACATGCTGCGTATCAATTAGAAAAATGACATTTTTAACCTGCTGTACAACACTTTAAGATGTGTTCTTCACAGATCACTCTCAAATATCTTTGCTCTTAAAATGTTACAAAACTTTTGTAAGTTAGAATGTTAGGATTTGCATTAGAGGCGGCACAGGTAGCAATGCCAATACTTCAGGTTGCCAAACTTCTAATATAGGTATGTCTACACAACTACTGTGAGCATGTTTCATGGCCGGGGTTGACAGACTTGCGCTAGTGGGGCTTGCGTGCACTAAAAATAGCAATGTGAACCCTCTAGTTCAGGCTGGAGCTTGGGTTCTGAAGCCTCCAAAAAGGGGTGAACTTCAGAGCCAAAGGTCCAGCCCAAGCCTGAATATCAAAACATCCCCACGGCTACTTTTAACAGCTAGCCTGAGCCCTGCTGGCATGAGTCTGTTGACCTGGGCTGTGATACTCACTCCCAGTAACTGTGTAGACATACCTTATAAAAACCCATATTCATTTGCTTATTATTTTGCCAAACAGTTTGTGTTGAAATTATTCATGCTAGGTGCCTGCCTAAGGCTGAAATTCTGAGGGATGTTTTAGTTAAAATTGTTCAACCATTTACAGGAACAAGATTAAGGGGAAATAAGTTTTTTGCACATGATTAAAAATTCTTACAACTGTTTTGTTGAGAAGGTCCAGAGCCTCTAGGCTTAGCAGCAATAAGCTGGAAATATGGAAGGGGTCTTCTAGTGTCAGAGATCTGGATGTCCAGAAAAATTCACCCAAATGTGGCCAACAAGCCATGACCCTCTGAAAACTACCATTCACACATTCTCAGGAGAGGTTTGTTAAGAGTCTGGCAGCTACATTCTCTGAAGATTCGATCTGCATGGAGCATGCTCCATTCCCTCACAGCTATTACATGCAACTGGACTGTGCATGCACCATCTCCAGACCGTGACTGAGGTTGGCTCATCCCGGGAACATAAGGCTGAGCAAGACTTCCCTGTGAGATTGCTCCTCCTGGCAATGGGCGCTGGCATTGAGAGCAAGGAGACTGTCTCTCTGGTACTCACAATGCTCCCCATGCTGGCACCCAATCAGCAAGGAGAAATAGGCAACTTGATTCAAATGCAAAGAAACAAAGCGAGGCGGGGCGGGGTGGGGGGGGAGAGATTAGGAGCAGATGAATAGGAACAGGGGAGAAGAGGGGTGGGTGAGGAGAGGAAAGGAATGGGAGGGAGGGGTTGGAGAAAGTGCAGAAGCAAAGGGATTGGAAGAAAATAGGAGCAAAGGGAGGAGGGAACATGGCCAGGACAGCATACTACAGATTCTATCAGTTTGTGCGATCATTATGTTGTGTTAAAACATTCGTTATGATAAAAGGAATTTGCCCTGGCATGATACCAGAAGTCTGGTTTTCAAATGATTATTAAAAGTAAGTGGCAACAAACATAAGATATGCCACTAGATATCTTTTTCTTTTAATAAAAGAAATTGTGTATTGCTGTGAGATCCCAATCCAGTCTCTACCAAATTGGCTTTATTGAACGTCAGTCTTGGAATCAGAGCATTTCACAAAAGCCCATGCTGATGTTCCAGGTCAAGCCATGTCACTGAGGGCATTCTTCTGTTTGCTGTCAGGCAGAGAGAGAGAGAGAGAGAGAGAAAGGGGTGGGGGGCTATGTCCTTGACATCAGACTAATTCAATTTATACCAGTCATCTAGTCTACATCAAATTCTTGTAGTAGACAATTGTTCACTCAGACTCTCACCATCGAAAAGATGTTGTATACAAGAGACTCTTTTTCAAACTAGATCCAAATTCCTTCCCAATTTGTCTGCCACTGATCTATGAGGTAACCCTTCCTCCCCCTCTCCTTTCTTCTGCTACTTGCCAATGACAAAAAATCAGTTGTTTGAGGATGGACCTTCATCCCAGACAAACAAATCCGCAACCACTATAGATAGAAGAACAAAGCAAAGGATGTTTCAGACCCACATGAACGTAAATCTTGTAGAAGACTGATTTCACAACACCTCCCCTAGAACAATTGGCTTTGGAGTGTGAAAGACACATGGGAGAGCTATTGCTGCTGGTGAAAGAGTGGCAAAGTGTGATTAAGACGTGGAAAAAGAAATAAGGGTTGAAAGCAAGAGAAGGACGCAGAACAAAATAAAAAGGGCTCGGAGTCGTGAAATTATGAGACCAAATCAAATACATCCAGAAAAAAAACAAAAAACCCCGTAATTCATACTTTAATGTTTTGTTCAACATTTTATTACACATTGCCTCAATCACCTTCAAAAACAAAATCCTGATTTCAAGCAATTCTTCTAACAATATTAGGGACTAACCAGGCTAATTTATGCTATTACCTTCTGCTTTCTCCCCATGCCTAAGCATTTTCTGCAGACAAGTAAAAACAGGAGACTGTAGGAAATTCATCCATTTTCTATGACAATCTGCTTGTAAATTGTATTAATTTTATTTTCCATTGAGACTCTCCTCTGGCTAACAATACTGCCTCTATAAATCTCTAGGATTGTGTATTGATTTCATAAATACCTCCAGTGATCTGACAAACTGACAGCTTTAATGGTGTTACTGATGCAGCATGGAGAAAAAGTTCAGTGCTGCATGCTTCATTTTATGTAACTGCCCTTTCACAATTATAAGCTTGCCTTTTTGAGATGGTTACGAATAGTGTGTTTATCTCTGCTTGATAGCAATATGCCAAATTATTGTTAAGCACCTTTCATAAGGAAGTAAACTACCACCAGATCCATCCAAAACACTTTACAAAATCTGTCTATAATGTATAGAAGCTGAGTTCTAGCCAATTGGTCTCACAGTTTATTTCGTTTCACTTTTGTCAGTCTCCACTGCTGTTTTGTTCCGTAGCGAAGGAAGCATCGAAAGCTCTCTTGTGAATATTAACCCAAAACAGAAAAAACAAAACTAGCAAACAAAAAAATGAATAACTATTTGTTAGCAGAAACTATGGAAAAATAGTTAAAATGAACTATCACAAAATAAAAGATTGATTAGAATTTTGGAATAAAAATAACAAATAAATTATTAATCATAATGCAGTCCTGAATCCTTACACAGTAGTTTTTATCCACCTATCTCAAAGAGTGTAACAGAGGGTATGAACCAGAGTCTCTAATTTATAATTTATCACCAAGGAAGTTAAGTGAAATGAATTTCATCTTTAGACCAAAACAAAACAAAACAATCCACACCGTGCAGACAACACATACGGCCCATCAAATATCACTCAATGTGATGGTTTTTGAAACGTGAACTCTAAGATGTGCTATTGAGCCTCTGAAAGCCAGCTATTAAACAGCGTATCCTCAATGGGCCATCTCAGAGAGAAAGCAGCAAGACCAAAACCTTAGTGTTTCTGCAGGTAAGACGAAAAAACTAGTTAGGAGAATGAGGCGCTTCCCTTAGATCAAGGGAGAAGTGACTGGACATGCATTCTGTCCCATACAGGGGCAGGTTGTTTAGGAGAGAAGGTCCTGGACTGCGTGAGGTAGGAATTCAGAGGGGACAAGAACACAGCCCGGACTTGTTCTTGGGACATGTAAGATTGTTTTTGGCCTTTTGTACACAATGCAGGAGTGCACACCACTGGGCGGTGAATTCTAAATGTGCACCAACGTGTCACACACTAACTGGCCTATTTAGACCCTGCTGGTGCATACTAAATATTCCTGAGTGTGCATTTATGTAGTCCTGTTTCAAACAGTATATTAACACACAGTAGGGAACTTTTAATGCACACCAGCAGGGTCTACATGAACCAGCTAGTGCATGACACATTGGTGCGCACAAGAATTTACCCCCTCTTGGCAAGCACTCCCACACAGTGTAAACAAGACCTTGGTCTGTAACTAAACTATCTAGGTTAGATTATAAGATGTATAAATTTAGACATGTTAAGCAAATTGTTTCTTTTTGTTTTACTCCACCTTCTCTGTTTTTAATAGATCTTGGTTTATTAGGAGATCTACTGCTGAATGTGAAAGTTTCACCTGTCGATCCTCAAGAACAGTGGTTCTCAACCAAGGATCCACGTACCCCTGGGGGTACACAGAGGTCTTCCAGGGGGCACATCAACTCATCTAGATAGTTGCCTAGTTTTAAAAAAGGCTACGTAAAAAGCACTAGCGATGTCAGTACAAACTACAAACATGAGACATGTTTATACTCCTCTATATACTATACACTGAAATGGGAGTACAATATTTATATTCCAATTGATTTATTTTATAATTATATGATAAAAAATGAGAAAATAAGCAATTTTTCAGTAATAGTGTGCTGTGACACTTTTGTATTTCTATGTCTGATTTTGTAAACAACTGAGTTGAGGTGAAACTTGGGGGTACACAAGACAAATCAGACTCCTGCAAGGGGTACAATAGTCTGGAAAGGTTGA